CAGATGGGGGTATTTACCTATGTGGAGATTTCTGCTGCTTTTTGTTTAACTATGACGTGTCCCCAGAGGAGGAGTCTACAAAGACAGGCAGGTCTCCTTGAGGTGTGGTGGGCTCCACCCAATTCGAGCTTCCCTGCAGCTTTGTTTACTTACTTAAGCCTCAGCAATAGTGGGCACCCCTCCCCCAGCCTAGCTGCCGCCTTGCAGTTAGATCTCAAACTGCTGTGCTAGCAATGAGGGAGGCTCCGTGGGCGTGTGATCCTCTGGGCCAGGTGTGGGATATAATCTCCTGGTGTGCCATTTGCTAAGACCCTTGGTAAAGCGCAGTATTAGGGTGGGAGTTACTGGATTTTCCAGGTGTTGTGTGTCTCAATTTCCTTTGGGTTGGAAAAGGAATTCCCTTCCCCCTTGCACTTCCCAGGTGAGGCGATGCCTTGCCCTGCTTCAGCTCTGACCAGCGCCAACTGTCCGACATGACCCAGTGAGATGAACCCGGTACCTCAGTGGAAAATGCAGAAATCACCCATCTTTTGTGTCGCTCACGCTGGGAGCTGGAGGCTGGAGAGTCCCACTATTTTCATGAGTAGCTAACTCTGTCTCCATGGCAAATTGAGTTCCAATTATAGTACAATAAGAATTCCAGATTCTTCCTACTCTTCAATCACCTAGTGTGTATTGAAGGATTCTCTGAGTGAATTGTGTGAAGGACTGAGAAGATTTAGCCCTGGCACATTCTTTCATAGTGTTTAAAATCTAATTTGGGAAAGAAGACTGACACAGGGGAGAAAACAGACAACAATGCAAGATAACATGGACTGGGCCACAGCATATGGTACAAGGAAGAAGGCAGTGGTGTGTTGGTAGATTTTTAACAACCAACTCTCCAGGAAATAAAAATAGTCCTGATACTGATGGTTGATTTCTGAGTTAACACTATTTCTCTATAGCAGATTTTAATCTACCCAGATGATACTACAGAATATGGAGCTGAGAAAGAATGGTAGCAATCTTCTCTGGTGAGCTGGTGCAAACTGCCTCCAGCACACCATTCGGTATAGGCTTTGTGAAAGAAAGAGAAGTGAGGAACAGGGTTGTTGTGAGATGATTTCGTGAAGATGCTAGGCAATGAGCTGAGTCTTGAAATACTCCTAAGAAACAATTTTTAACCATTAAAAATAGATCTAATTTGGTCGTTTAAAAATTCTGTATTTAAGCAAAGAATAAGAATATGATTTCATTTGGGAATTTTATGTTAAGATTGTTCTGTGAATGATAAGGATGTGCTTCCAAGCATGGAGGACTTGGAATCTGGATGGGCAATGGGGAGTGGAGGACAACCCAGGTAAGAAGAAAAATATGAACACAGGCACAGCTTTGACAATGGGTATTGGAATGTTCCTAGACCCTGGGAAGGTTGGCTTTTTTTGCAGTAGAGGAGATAGTGAAGATGGCAGATTTGCTGTGTAAGAATAGTCTGATAGTTCAGGGCCTTATCAGCCCAGCAGAGTTGTACTTACCAGACCAGAGAAGTGATATATGATTAGTATATTAGAACTTAGAGACAATCTTGTTTAAGCTCCTTATGTAGCATTTGAGGCCATGGAGACATATTTGCCCCAGACCACATGTTTTATTTTGACATGGACAGACTCCAGATCAGGTTCCAGATTTCCCAAGTCCCAGCCAATTCCAATGTTTCTTCCATCATAATAAATCCACCTAAAGGATGCTAAGTCTAGTAGCAACAGATTCATAGGGATACAATCTTATTTGTGTCCAAATGAATTAACTTTGATGAAGTATAATGCAGTATGATACAATATATTACATGATACAATATAATACAATGCAATACAATTAAAATATAACATAGCAAAGTTTACCAATTTTTTGGTATACATTTTGGTGAGTTTTGACAAATGTATACACTTGTATTACCACCCTCACAATCAATAACATTTCTTTTACTCCAATAAATTCCCTTGGGTTCTTTTTTGGTCAATTCCCCAGCAATTCTGGTAACCACTTTTTTTTTTTTTTGTCAGTATACATTAGATTTGTATTTCTAGAGTAACATATAAATAGAATCATACCACATTAACTATTTTGTGTCTGACTTGATTCAGCATACTGTTTTAAAGATTCTGCCATGTTGCTGTTAGTCTTAGAAATTTGTTCCTCTTATTGCTGAGCAGTGTTTCATTATATGGATGTGTTATATCTTGGACATTTGGGTTATTTGCAGTTTTTTGACATTTAGGAAGAAAGCTGATAGGGCTATTTACATATTCCTGTCTCTATGTGGACACACATTTTCATTCCTATTGTGTCAACATGTAGAAAAAATTACTGAGTGATGGAGTAAGTACAGATTTAACTTTATAAAAAACTGCCAAATTGTTCTCCAACTTGGTGATTCTGTTTTACATTTCCACCAGCAATGTTTAAGTTTCAACTTCTTTACTTACTTGCCAAAACTCTTTGTTGTTTGTGGCACAATCTTGGCTCACTGCAACCTCCACCTCCCAGGTTCAAGTGATTCTCATGCCTCAGCCTCCTGAGTAGCTGGGATTACAGGTGTGTGCCACCAGACCGGCTAATTTTTGTATTTTTTGTAGAGATGAGGTTTTACCATGTTGGCCAGGCTGGTGTCTAACTCATGGCCTCAAGTGATTAGCTTGTCTCAGCCTCCCAAAGTGCTGGGATTACAGGTATGAGCCACTGCACCTGTCCAAGTCTTTTAATTTTTCTAATGATATCTTTTGAAGATTAGAAGCTTTTAATTTTGATAAAATGCAATTTGTGATTTTGTTGTTTTATGGGTTATGCTTTTTGTTTTATATCCAGGAAATCTTTGCTCATTTCAAGGTATTGAAGATTTTATTTCTTATTTTTGTCTGGAATTTGTATAGTTTTATCTTTTATATAAATATCTGTGATTCATCCTGAATTTGTGTGTGTGTGTGTGTGTGTGTGTGTGTGTGTGATATGAGATAAGGTTTGAGGTTCATTTTTCACATATAGACATTCATTTTTTCTAGCAACATTTGTTGAAAATACTGTCACTGAGATACCTTCGCACTTTATCAAAAATCAGTGGCTAGATATATGTGGGTCTACTTTTGGACTCTCCATTTTTTTCTATTGCCTGCACTTGCATCAATACCATACTATCTTGATTACCATAGCCTTCAAATGAAGGAGTGTAAGTTCTTTAACTTTGTACTTCTTTTCTAAAATTGTCTTAGCATTCTTGGTCTTCTGCATATTCATATAAATTTTATAATGGGAAAATGTTTTATTATTCTGGCTAGAAGATTTGGTACCCTAGTCTTAAGTGGGTCATTGTGAATTCAGAAATTGTACAGACAGGAGACATAACTTTAAAGAAAAAGCCCACTGAATGTGATGTCAAAATAGATATGGCTCCAAAATGCTGACCCATTAATGGACAGGTATAATGGCAAGGTCATTAAAGAAGACAGAAAAATGGAAATGCAGAGCTTTTTATGAGTATAAGAAAGGTTAATGTTTAGTTCACTTTCAAAAATATGAAATTTATTATGATTGCAAGAAACACTAATAGAGAAGCCAAGAATGAGGTAAGTTGGAGACTTGGGAAAAAGATTGGTGATGAAAATAGAGATTTGGGAACAATCATCATAGAAATTGCACACACAAGTGTCAAGGATTGACCAGAGAAGAGCATACATAATTTTGGTAGAGGGAAAATGAGCAGATTCATGGAAGGTAACAAAATGAGTGCTGGGAAGAGAGAAAAACAGTGTGGTTTCATGGAAACCAAAGTCAGAGAATGTTTCCATGAGGTAGGAGTTTGAAGTGTTAAAACAGAGAAAGATGAGAAAAAGGAGATAAAGCAAAGTCCAGTGGCCTAGCAATGGAGAATTCTTTGGTGACATTTGAGCAAACAGTCTCATGGGCATGAACATGCCAAAGCCAACTTGCAGGGAATTATGGAGAGTGGGAAAGAAATCCTGTTTTAATGCTTCTGAAAATAAAGGGAGAACAGTCACTAAAGAGAACCACAGGATCAGATGTATGCTCTCCATACAGTTTATATGCGCTTGCTTTTTGACAAAAGGGACTAGTGTCTCTGCTTCTCCAAATTGTTCACCATATTTTAAAAAATAGTTAAGCCAGTTGGGCTACAGATAGCTGCAGATTCCTCTCTCAACTCCAGAGTCTCTTCTACACCTCAAGCTGTCCCAGTCCTTCACAGTGTTTTCTGTCACAGCTCTCTCTTCCTGACTTCACTCAAAAAGCCTACTAGAATCAGCAAAAAAAAAAAAAAAAAAAAAAGGAAAAAAAAAGATTTCTTTAGGGACTTCAGTGATCAATTTTAGTGGAGAGATAATGGCAGAATCTGTGTTGTAGGTGTTCTGTTTTGAGAGTACAATAACATGTTTGGACCACATTACCTCTCCAAAATCAAGTTTCTATATTCTGAAATGCTGTGTAAAAGCTCGTTGGTGACCCTGTTATGAAATCCAGTGACCACATCCCAGAGTTTTCCGTCTTCAAATATTTCAAACTGCTATATCTTTTTTTTCCCACAAAACTTTCATCTTGATGGTTTTCTTGACATGCACTTCACCAGAGTCCTCCTTGTTAAGAGGGTCTAATGAGTGGATATTATTATTGGTTGAAATATAAAGCATGGCTTTCTCCTTGCTGTCCTTTTCCCTTCCTAACATCACTATAATGTCTGTGAGGTGGGCATGCAGGCAGGAGCCCTTTCCATGCACAGAAAGTAGTTTGTTCTACAGTGACAATGTTCATATGTATACAGCCCCAAAGAGGTACAAGTAGGCTTCTGTCTTCATGTACAAGGACTCTGCGTGAGCATTATGATCAAAAAGAAGGAAACTGGATTCAGTCTCAGTACAGTTATCATTGTTCTTTGTTTTAAAGTCCAATTGCTATTGAGAATTTACTCCTTGTTGACTCCATTTATTGCTTTCAGACACTGATATAGCAGAATGCAGAGAAAGAACTTCACAGAAGTGACAGAATTCATCTTCTTGGGATTCTCTAGTTTGGGAAAGCATCAGATAACCATCTTTGGGGTTTTCCTTACTGTCTGCATTTTAACTCTGGCTGGTAACATCATCATTGTGACTATCGTCTGCATTGACCATCATCTCCACACTCCCATGTGTTTCTTCCTAAGCATGCTGGCTAGTTCAGAGATGGTGTACACACTGGTTATTGTGCCACAAATGCTCTGCAGCCTCATTTTTCATAACCAGTGTATCTCCTTGGCAGGCTATGCAACCCAAATGTTCTTTTTTGTTATCTTGGCCATTAATAATTGCTTCCTGCTTACTGCAATGGACTATGACTGCTATGTGGCTGTCTGCAGGCCCCTGAGGTACACGGTCATCATGAGCAAGGGCCTATGTGCCCAGCTGGTGTGTGGGTCCTTTCGCATTGGTCTATGGCAGTTCTCCATGTGACAGCCATGTTCAGTTTGCCCTTCTGTGGCACAGTGGTGGACCACTACTTTTGTGACATTTACCCAGTCATGAAACTTTCTTGCATTGATATCACTATCGATGAGATAATAAATTATGGTATAAGTTAATTTGTGATTTTTGTGCCCACAGGCTTGATATTTACCTCCTATGTCCTCATCATCTCTTCCATCCTTAAAATTGCCTCAGCTGAGGGCTGGAAGAAGACCTTTGCCACCTGTGCCTCCCACCTCACTGTGGTCATTGTCCACCGTGGCTGTTCCTCCATTGCCTACCTCAAGCCCAAGTCAGAAAACTCTACAGAACAAGACCTCCTTCTGTCAGTGACCTACATCATCACCGCTCCCCTGCTGAACCCTGTTGTTTACAGTCTGAGAAACAAGGAGGTCAAGGATGCTCTATGCAGACTTGTGGGCAGAAATATTTCTTAACGGATTGGATTATTAAATCAAGAGACCGTTAGCCCAGTGTAGTGTGTCTACTCACAAACATGCCACAATATACAAGTTCATCAAATATAATATTTGTTGATAATACTGTCAGATAATAGAAATGCTTTTCTATTTAGTGTTCTAGGGATGGCAGAAAGCAGGATTTCTGCTCTGGTGAATTTGGTTACCAGACTCAAGACTCACTCCACGCTGGATTAAGACTACTTGTCTCTGTGCTTGAATATTTCAGTTTTGAAAGCTTTTTGGCTCCCATTTTACCTGAACTCTCTGACAGTCAAATCTTTGAGCTTGTCCGGTTAGGGGATGTGGAGTAGAAGCAGTGGGAACATAGGTGGCAGGGGTGTTAGGAAAATAAGTTGCAGAGACACCAACCTTTATTTCTCTCTGCTTACATAAAAAATAAAGCTTTCATTCTCAGGAGTCAAATAATATTCCATGTGATAGTCATTTTGTAATTATATCTTAATCTTGCTGATTGAAAAATGAACAGCTTTGAAAAAAAAGTCTCTTCTTTTATTATCCAGCTGTATTCGCTCCTCAAATAGTGTTCATTTCTATGTGCATTCCTTCCTTCTGTGCAATCAAGGCAGAAATCTCTGCTGTTCCCTAGGGGATAAGCAGAAAGGACACATACTGGTGGCTTTTCTCTGAAGCTACATTTTTATCCAGATGTACTTTTCATAAAGACTTGTCTCTTTTCAACTTATGGTAGTTTTTTAGATTTTTAATTTATATGTAGTAGTTTCACTGACATTGAAGTTGTTGTCTTAGATATTGGTTGTACTAATTCTAGGGTCCAAGGTAAATGCCATTAACTTCCATTCTCTCAGAAAACTGTGCAAACTTCATATTTTTCCAGATATTTATTTGCAAAATAAGCATAACTATGCTACATTATTGTATACACTCAATGGGAAACATTGTGGGAATATTTTGTTTTATGAATCTTCCCACCAGAGTTTATCTCTACTCTGAGACAGACCTGGAAGATACTTTCTAAGAGACACAGGTATGGAAACATCTGTTTTCGCACACTCATGGCATCTATTGTTGTTCCATTCTCAAGTCATTTTATCTCTTATCTCTTACTCTCCTATCTCTTACTATCAGGATTAAGGCAATTCTGCAATGAAGGAAAATAATTTCAAGTATGCACTCAGGATTGTCACCTGTATGCTGTTATTTTCTCTGTTACTTGATTCCTATCTCTTAGAGTCCAGTTTTATTTTTCTGTTCCTAACCACGGAAATAGGGTTAAGTGTCTTCCAGGTGACCTGTGATCTTCTCTGTCTTCTACAGATCCCTTTGTGAGGAGGTCACAAGCTGGAGGTGAAGGGTCTCTGCACAGTGTCCCCTTCATCTGGCTGTCCCAGTTGGATAACATCATAGCTGATAGCAGGGTCTCCCTACTGACCAGCCTGATAGCCTTCTCAAAAGGTGTCTGTCTCAACCTGAGGTTCATAGTTTTCTAGGGGGTGCCTGGGCGGGTGTCAAAAGATTTTTAAACTTTTTTGAAACTATTCACTACATTTCTAATATAAGTGTTAATGTGACTTTTTCTTCGTATTCTTAGAGAATTAACTCTGGCATAAGAATTTCTTCCATCAAATCCAAACAGAAATATGAGACTAGATCCAGCTTTCTTCCTTCAGAGACTATTGACTTCCACAATATCCTTACACCCTCTTAAATAAGGATCCTTTGACCTGGTCCAGTTTTGCCTATATAAGCATTGCTGTTCTTACACTAGTTAGAGAATATGGAAGGTATGGGTGGTTCTCAGCTTGGAGGTTGAGGAATAATGGATTATGGGGGAATATCAGAGGCCAAGTGTGGTCTTATTGAAAGTTTTTCGGTCTTTTTCCATCCCTTCCTGTATTCCCTCTTGTATTCCCTAAGTGTTTCAATACCATTCCTGCTCTCCAACACTTTGTGGATGAGTGAATACCCCACTAGTGTTAGTTGTTTTACATACTTTGCATGGATTTAGACTCACTAGAGAAAGAAGCATCTACAGGCAAAGTGCAACAGGATAAGAGTGGGTAAGTCTATGTGGTCACAGATCCCTCCTGGAGGATGAATTAGGAAGAGTGAGTCATTTTGTTGCTGCTTCCTATTGTCTATGAAAATGCTTATATTGATAATTAATGTGGCGGTTACTTTCACTATCTCAATTATTTTTGTTGTCATTATCATCATCATGATTATTCCCCAATGTCTCACTCTACCCATACTCCTTTATTTTTCTTCTTTTGTACATTTCAAATACTTTTATTTTAATATGTTTTTTGTTAAGCTCTTTTATTCACCAGAAAAAATAGTCATAATATCACGTATTTATTAAATCAATGTACCTTTTTCAAGTACTATGTGTCAAGCAATTAACTATCTCCGGGGTTACAATAATGACTAATGTAGAGATTCAGTTTCTTGTTATTCACAGTCCAGTGGGAAGGCAGACAAAATAACAAGAAGTACAAAAACTTGCTAAAGGCACATGCACAGGATTGTCGTTTGGGGTCAGGGGTGTTGTTCAGAAAAGGAATCTATTTAGAAGGTCAGAAAACATTCATAGAGAGGTGATATTTAATTAACTTTTTGTGGCGTTGGGTTAACTGGTGTCTGCAAAGGATGAGGGAAGATGATAAGGGAAAGAGAAGAGTCTGACAGAGACACAGAAACCTGAAAAAGCCAGAAGTGTTCGTTGGGCAGGTGTTTTATTCACCTGTATGCCCACTGCCCTGTTGAATACTAGTCTGACAAAAAGTAAGTGCTTAATATACCTTTGCATGAATGAATGTGTGAACATCTATTGAGCATAAAGTCTTGTTCAATAATTTCCTCAGGTGTATTTTTTGATAGATACCTCTTGTCATATTCTTTCTGTTTGTCTGATAGACTCCTTTTACCTAAAATCAAGTAACAGAGAAAATAACAGAGTACAGGTGACAATCTTGACTGCATACTTGAAATTATTTTCCTTCATTGCAGGATTGCTATTTATCATATATTTACATTAGTTAGCCACTTAAAATTGTACACTGGATTAATATATTTTAGCTATAAGCAGGACCATTAGTTTGACAATATTTAAAATAATTGCTTGATAACCTGACATATAAAATCAAGAGTTAAGACATTTAAACATTTACCTTTAGAAAAATTATGAAAAGACTATTATGGATCTTATAACTTCTGAAATGATTTTTACAGTGTTGACTTTGTAACTTCTTTAGAGAAAAACTAGTTTTGCCTGATATCCTTTTACATTCATCAATTGTAACCTATAATGGATTAGATGAGAAAATGGCTGCAGCACTCCTAACAATGAGTAGAATAATACATTTTATTGATGGGTGCAAATGTTTCTGGGAGTAGAGAAAGGAGGGAAGTGGTCAGGAGAGATAAACTTAAGCCAAAGATAAGCAGGTAGTACGTGTCACACAGAGCTTAACTTTTAAAAAGACATGTTTAAAGGGTACAAGAACCTAAGGTAGTTTTGTTGTGCTGCTAAGGTGTGAACACAAGTGTGAGTGTGTGTGGTGTGTGTGTATATGTATACATGCATGCATATGTATTTTTTTGTGGGAGGGTGCTAACATTTAAAAATTTTGGATGTAATGGGCATTGTAATAAAATGCTTTATTTGCATTCTTTCATTTAATAACCGTCTTTAATGTTTATATAGCTCTTCAGAGTTTACAAGGATCTTTTGTATTCATCATCCCATTTGATTCTTATAGCACTCCTGTAAGGTATTAGTCCCCTAGTTTTCAGATATATCCATTGCAAATGGTAGTTTAAATTACTTTTCCAAGGTCATATTCTTTGTTAGAACTAGCAGTAGCACTAAAATGAAAGTGAGCCTTAACTACAAATCTAGTAATTCTGAATTCCATGTTTTTTATTACGTTGTCCATTTTTATTACTTCATTCATTCAAACACACGTGTGCATGCGTATGTATGCACACGCACACACACACACACAGAGAGTATTAATTCTCATCAGAGAATAAGGTACAATGAATAAACTTTATTTTTGAGATCCTAAAACTTCATTTCACTCATAATTGATGAACTTTTTCTAAAATGTTCTAATTGCTTCCTTGACTCTGCAAATAAAATATGTTGGTGATCATGAATATATTTTTTAATAATGTTTACCATGGGCACTTAACTGTATCTTGTGTTGTGGTTCAGCGATATTGTCAGTTGGAACCGAGCTTGTATCATCTTTGCTTCTGAATTAAAAGACTCACATACTCCAGAATTTTATGAACTTTGAGTTAGAATTGCGTAGTTTCTGATTCTTTTAATTATTTAGTTTGTTACTTCAACAAATATGAAATGCCTGTTCACTCTGAGTGTCAGACGCTGGGTTAGGTGCCAGGAATGTAGAGATAAATAAGATCTGAGTCTTGCATTGAGCAGCTAACAATCTACTTGCAACCCATTTCAGTGCAGTGTGACTAATGCCATACACAGAGCACTGTGAAGACCCAGAGAAAAGAATTCCTAACTCAACTGGTGAATTTCATCCTTGCATGTATTCGTAGCAGGTCAAGGTGAATGAGTTTGACAAGTTCAAGAACTTTATTCTAGTAAAACTTCCTGACATTAAGCCTACTCAGATAGCAAGTGCCCCCAGGTTAATGACCAGAATCTCTATAATTTATCATCCACAATTTTCAGCATGTAATTACAAAATGCTCAACATTGGAAAAAACGGTATATTGTGACCCCTATCAAGAGAAAATGAGTCAACACATCAACCCTAAGATGACTCCATTCAATAGTCAAGGACTTTAAAGTAGCTAGTGTGTATAGGCTCAAGAACTTACAGAAAAATATTCTTATAATAAGTAAACATATATAGAATCTCAGTCAAGAAATCTAGAACTGAAAATTAAAATATATGAAATAAAAATTTCCTGTTTAACAATAGATTGGAGCTGGCAGAAAAAAGGGTCAATGAACTTGAAGAATGATTAATAAAATTATTGAATCTGAAGAACAGAGAAAAAATGAATAACAATGAACAGGGTCTCAATGACTTGTGCTATAAGACAAGACATTTAATGTACATGTACTTGAAGTCTCAGAAAGAGAGATTAGTATGTGTCACAAAAATATTTGAAAAAACATTGGTTAAAATGTTCATATTATTAAAAAATATAAGATACAGATCCACGAATCTGAGTGAATTCCAGGTAGGGTAAATAGAACAACATCAAATATATGTAAGCAGAGTCAAATATTTAAAACCAGAAATGAAAAAAAGTCTTGAAAGTCACCAGGCTAAAATAACATAATTTTTTCCAAGATGAAAGATTAGAAGCTTGTTAGCACATCTCACCCACTTAGAAATAGCAAAATACTGTGTATAAATTTACACTGCGAAATTTTGTCAAATAAAACAAAACAAAACCAACCAGGAGTGCCCAGGAAACTGCCAGT